GAAATTCTGATATATGTTAAAAGGTGAATGAACACTGAAGACATGAGATAAGCCAGTTACAAAAGTACACACATTGTATGATCCCACTTACATGAATGATTTAGAGAGGTCAAACTGGTGAGAGATGGAAAGTAGAATAATGTTTACCAGGTACTAGGTTGAGGGCAGGATGTGACATTATTGTTTAATGGATATAGAATTTTAAGTTTAGGAAGGTGAATAAGATTTAGAGATAGATGATTATCGTGCATACATTGTGAATGTATTTAACTAACGCCACTAAGCTGTACACTTAAACATGATTAAAATGCCAAGTTTTATGTTATGTATTTTTTAACCACAATAAGAAAATACTGAAAAAAATACCCACAAAAACTCATAATAGCATTTTAAAATTAAGTATTTATCTTACAAATTACAGTTGAGTATGAAATTAGCAAGAAATTAAAGAACAAGAACAGAAAACAAAAGATAGGGCTGGGGTTGCGGTAGAGTGCTTGCCTAGCATGTTTGAAGCACTGGGTTCGATCCTCAGCACCACATAAAAATAAATAAAGGTATTTTTTAAAAAAATATAGCGTAAAGAGGTCAGGTCATTGGAACTCAGTGAAGTTTATTTAGTTCTAATAATTTTAGCATACTTTGGCATTGTCATACAGTTAAGAAATTCATTACATATTTTTAACAAAAGAGAAAAAATTAGTTTTTTACTTTTGGAGGGGGGTTGGTATTGGGAATTGAAACCAATCTACTTTCCCAGTGCCCCCCCACCCTTTCCTTTTTTTCTTTTTCTTTTTATGGTACTGAGGATCACACATGACAGGTAAACATTCTTATCACTGAGCCATGTCCTCAGCCCACATAAAGCGTTTTACATTTGCACGCTTATTTGACCAGAACACACAAAGATCGATTTTCAATCACATTCTTAGGAAATAGCATACTATCATCATTTTACCAACAGTGAGGTAACATCTATTAGTTTCTTAAAGTTGATCTTCACCAAATTGTGTACTCTTTTGTGACAAGAACCATCTTCTGGTTCTTTACCTCTCTTCTTTCATTCCCACTTCCTTTTATTAAATCATCACTGAATACCTTATCTGGATCATCTCAGTGGTTTTCTTGAACAGGAAGGACACAATAGGTATTGGCTGAATCAGCTTTGTCAGAGGAAAGTATAATGTTTAAAAGACCATTTTTTTGTGAATCTAGGGAAAGAACTAGGAATATCCACTGTGGTGCTCAGAAGACTTAAGAAGAGAATTTTATAAGTATAAATATTCTCTCTGTCCTCTGTGAGCATATTGGGGAAGTAAGAAATGGGAGATGGCAACCCTCATTCATCATAATCCTCATTTGCCTTTTGTAGTGTAAGCATAACTAGCTTCCCTGAATTTATTCTAAAGAAGTGGTTTTCTGGTACAACCTGGCTTCTACACACAAGCTTAAGTTCTTCACCATGTTCTCAGGTTTAGTGACAGTGGTGTGTTGTGTGCTCAGAGGAAAAAGTATATGGGATGTCAGTTTCAACATGGTGCCTTCAAAAGGTGATTTGACCCTGCATGGCAAGAGTTTTCATCTTAAATACTGACTTTAAACCCTAAATTCTATTTAAAGTGTATTGCTACTTGTATGAGAGAAAATATGAAACTAGTGTATGTTCTCTTAGGGTATATAAACAAGTTTGGTTACATGTGTAGCAATCTTTAAATTATTTCCTTCAAACTTTCCTTTTTTTTTTTTGCAATGACCAAGTTGATTTTTTTAATGACAAGAAATTATCACCTCATATTCATTCAACCAATAAATATTAAGGCTGTTGCCTTCTTCTGGGCAGATACAATTGCTAGTAACAGTATTTACAACAGTGTGCAAAGTAAACACAGGTCCTTCTACCATAGAACTTATATTCAAGTGGAGAGATAGACATTAAATCACAAGTTAATTATATAATTATAAATTATAAGTGCTAAGAAAACAAAGCATTCTATAATGGTAACAGAAGGACCCAGTTTGGTTTTAGGAGCTTAAGAAGGCCTTTCCAAGGAAGAAACATTTGAACTGAGACCTATAGGGTGTCTAAATTCAGTAGGCAAAAAATGGAGGACAAGAATGTTCTGGCCAGAGAGATTATGCCCAAAGCTCCTGAAGCAAAAATGAGATTGATGTATTTGATGAATGAAAAGACGGGCTGTATAGCTTATTGAAAAAATTTTTCAATAAATTTAGTTAAAGATTCATTAATCTGGGAGCAACCACAGCATACCTTAGAAGAGTTGCCCCACTGAGCATGGCAGAACAGTTGGTTTTGATAAGGTATCCAAACCAGGAACAAAGAAGTAGACTAATATCCCAAAGAAGTAGACTAACACCTTGGTGTTAGGTTACTTTCTATGTGAGGATAAAAGAAGAGTGGACTTCCTTTTTACTCCTGCTCAGACTGAGTTTCAGTTGGTTGCTGTAAATCATCTGTTTTTATGAAAACTGATCTATCAGTGGAAAGTTTCAGCTTGATTGCATTGTACTTAGCGCAAGAGACTCTGGATTGGACTGTTGGGACAGAGTGTAGGAGCTCAGCTCAAAACAATGGTCTTCTAGAAATTTTATTTAACAGAGTAAAGCAGAATGGTGGGTAGATATGGTTAAAGATAGATAAGTACAAGATTATGCAAGGTTTTTAAACCATATTAAGGCATTTGGATTTTATTCTAGCAGGCAATTGTGGTTTTATTTATTTTTGTAAAATTTATTTTGGCTGCTTTGTGTAGAAATGGATCATACAAGGGAAGTCACAGACCTGAGTTGGAGAGGGTCAAAGTGTAAGTTGGGGACTTCAGTTGGTTAGAAGGCTGTGACAGTAATCAGTACCAGAGATGGTAGCATGTATGATTAGAGTGATGTCGATGAGATAAGGTGAAGTAGACATAGTCAACTTAGTTTTAGGAAATAATTCTTCCTGGCCTTGGTGGTTATAGAGAGTGAGGGAGAAGAAGCTGGAAAAAAGTGACTTCTAGTTTTCTAGAGTATATTATTAGGTAAATTTAGTAAGACAGAGATTGAGGAAGAAGCAGGTTTGAGGAAAGATGATCAGATTATCTGCTTTGAACATATAAAAAGTGAGACTTCTGTTATACATTCACATAGAGATCTGTGGTTGAGTATAGACAGAGTCAATGTACAAGTGTTGGGGTTGAATGCATATCACATATGAGATTGTACTATTTACCTCATAACATACTCTCTTATGAAAATACACAGGCGTGAAGATTCCCAATCATTGCTGCTTAGAGTTCTGGGGCAATAATGTTACTCTTGTGCTGCTCCAAATGTAAATTCATACTCACGTATGCTATAGCTATTTATAGATGCACTGGTATACACATATCTGCAGTCTCTTCCTCTGCCTTTCAACTCCACTGAAGTTTATTCTCTTGCTTATTCATTTACTATTTTCAGAGACTTAATTGTCGTTCCCCACCTGACTGTGAGCCTGACCTGGTTACCTCTCTTGGAGAATGAGAGATGGTGGACAGAATATGCATGTGCATGCTGTTCTTGGGGTGTGTTCTCTGGTGTCTGACAGTGTCTGTGAGGAGAATTATTACCAGTTACAGTTGTTTGTGTTGTAACGTAATATATAGTAACTTAAATTTTTGTTATTTAAGGAAGGACATCTTTTACTAATTTCCACTAAAATGCTATAAGGGTTAGCATTGTGTCCTCTAAAGCTCAGAAGAAAGGTCTCAGCCATGATATATATTTGTTGGTCACCAGCCTTATCTTGATGGTCATTGGGTTTAGCTAAGAAGAGAGTCCAGTTCTGACCCTTTGAAGAACTCAAGCACTGAGTAACTTGATAGAAGGAAGAATAATAAGGATTTGCCAGAGAGGAGGTAAGAGGCAAAATGATAGAAAGTGATGATAAGGAACCTGAGAAAGAGCCCAATATAATTTGTAAATCTGACCCAGAAGCCTTGGGTAGAATCTTCACAATCAACCCTGACAAACCCTTCATGACTTTATTTGCTCTGTATTAGTAAGACCAGTACTTACTCTGGTCTTATTACCATATACAGAAGCTCCAGAAATCCATGAAGTACTGGGTCCTGGGTTAGAAAGAAAAGCCGTTTTGTAGAAAATAATTCTATAGTTACTACAAACCTTTCTATATCCAGAAATGTTCTTTTGCCTGTTAGATGTGGCTTAGATAGTAGATCTCTTGTCAACAGATATAAGCGTATTGAAATATATTTTAAAAGAAATTTGAATACTTTCAAATCTTTTGTTTGTCACATATCATTTTTCTTTTTGTCTGTTTCTTATTCAGTACTAGGCATTGAGCCTTGCATATGCTAAGAAAGTCCTCTACCACTAAGCAATACCAGCCCTTACTTTAAGTATTTGTCTTTGTATTATCAGATAAATCTACCTGAAGCAGCTGATGATGTTATCCCATTATGAAGAAATCTTCAACGATGTTGCATTTCATGTACAATAAAATTTTTACTCTTCAGCTTGGGATTCCATGCACTGCTGAATTTTGTCCCAATTATTTTTAAATATTACCTATCTTCTTAATTTATCCTATAGTCTAGCCTGACAATAAAAATGTCAGTTATTCTTATGTATTCCTTGTGTTTGTTTATATAGTAATTTCTGCTTTAAATGCCTTTCTACCTTTCTCTCCATACCAGAAGGCCTATTTTTTAATGCAAGGTATACTTTTCTTTTTCCAAAACCTTCCTGAGCTAGAAATAATCTCCCTCCTGAACTGATCAGTGTTCCTCTTTATGTCTTTGTTTCTCCACCTTGTGTTATTGGCATTTATTCTGCTTGTTTCATAGCTTCAGTTTGACTAATGTGTCTTGACATTGTAACACTCCCATTGTAGTGCTTTTTTCATAGAAGTGGTCTAAGAGGCAGATTTTTAAAAAAGGTTTGTCTTAACTTCAAGTGTATTTTTGTGTTAATTGTATTAACTTCCCATTTTTCTCTAGGGTCCAATGATGCTATTGCTCCAGAGTTTCCCGCTCAGGTGCTAGGCACAAGGGATGACGACCTCTCAGCCACTGTGAACATTAAACATAAGGAAGGGATCTACAGTAAGAGGGCAGTACCTAAGGCACCCCTGTCATTGGGGAAAAAACCCTTTCAAAAAGATAATGCAGGTAACTGCAGTGGCTTTGTGTATTTTGTGACTTGTTTTCCCTGTTGTCTCCTAAATGAGAATATTATCTAGTCTTTATCCTTTTTCTGATTTGTTATGCAAAATTTCCTCTTTGTTATTATATTGGTATATACAAGAAGGTAAATATTTATAAATGCTTTTAAGTGCTTCAGGGATATTTTTCACCATAGGAAATATAATATGTTGCAACTTTTGAAATAATACCCAATACAGTATGTTTTATAGATGAAAATTCATAGAAAATATTGGTTAAATTGCCTCATGAATGTATCTCCATCAGATGTTAGAAACTAACTTATCAGGCTGGATTCTTCAAGAAAGTATGTGCTTACACATGTCTTAATTTTTTTTTTTTTATGTCGCCAACATTTAAAAATACGATTTGGTATTTAGAGCAAAACCAGGCAATTTTGGCTGGCTTTGTAGAAATGGACTTGTATTTGGACAGTTTTCACAGCAAAGCTGGAACACGTATATCCTTCCCACAGAGTTGTGAGAATTATGGGGAACACTCTTTTCAGTGATCAAAGGCAAACTATTATTATTATGACCTAGTTGCTTTGTGAGTATCCATGGACTTCTCCACTTTGCACTCATGGTTTTTGTTTTTCTCTTACATTCACTGTTTGTTTTGTTCTCTTATTAAATAACATATAATCTGCAAGAAAGAAAAAAGAAAGAAAGACTTTAAAAAAAGAAGAAGATGATTTTGGAGTGGGATGTGGTGGTGCATACATAGCCACTGACTTGAGAGGCCAAGACAGGAGGATCTCAAGTTGCAGGCCAACTTCAGCAATTTAGTGCCCTAAGCAACTTAGACCCTATCTCAAAAGATTAAAATGACTATGGATGTACTTAGTGGGGCCCCTGTGTTCAATCTCCAGTACCACAAAATAAATAAATAAACAAACAAATAATACATAAGATTTGCAGCGTCCCTTGAAAAATCATAGTATCAGGTTACACTCAGCTCACATTTCTCTTCAGCAAGTGTTTTACTCAACTTTTTTATTGCTGCAATTCAAAGGCCTGACAGGAACAATTTAGAGAAGGAAAAATTTATTTGGGGGCTCACAGTTTCAGAGTTCTCGGCCCACAGACAGCTGATTTCATTCCTTGGGGCTCCAGATGAGGCAGAAAAATCATGGCAGAAGAGTATATGGAGGGAAGCCCCTCACACAATGATCAGAAAGCAAAAAGCGACTCCTCTTACCATATATAAAATATATACCTGCTCCCTGCCCAAAGACATGCCCCTAATGCCAACTTTGGGGATAAATTCTCTGATTGGGTTAAGGCTCTCATAACCCATTTAAGGCTCTCATAACTTTCATTTCACTTCTGAATGTTCTTGCATTGTCTCGCACATGAGCTTCTGGGGGACACCTAATATCTAAACTATTACAGCAAGATTTGTTCAAATCTTTTCTATTTTATAATCTTTCTGTTTCTAATACATATTGTTGAACGTGTTATCTATACATTCCTATAATTTTTACTGAATAGAAATTTGAATATATGCATATAAATAATTTATCTTCCTGGTGTATTGGGTCTTTTTGTTATTGTGATTTAAACTTCCTCCTCTATCTTAATGTTTTTTTGACCTGGAGCACTGTTTTGTCCATTTTAACACTGCTCACTAGTGTACCAGATATGAAGATTTACTTTATATGTAGTTTATTTAAGATATCATTTGCAAAGGAGTAAATAGAAAAATGCAATAACAGTGACTCAGAACACGTACATGAATATGGAAATGAAATATATACAAAGATGGAATAACAATATGGAGAATAGATGAAGATGAACTAACCATTGAGTATGACTTGGACCACTGATGATATGTGTAGGAGAAATAAAATTAGATAAATCCCTATTACTCATTGAATTTTTTCCAGGCATATTTAGTCTAAAGGAATGTGTTAACCTTTTAGAATTTAGGCTGTCTGTCTGGCTGTCTATCTATTTATTTATTCATCCATCCATCCATTTATCTATCTATTTATTAAAATTCATCAGTTTTGACATGCATGTAACCAATACAATCAATATAAAAAGCATTTCCATTACTTTTTAAAAATTTGATATCACGCACACTGTGTTTCCTGCATGATTTATTACATTAGGAATCAGTCACCTTAAGATATTAGACAACCCCACTCCCACATGCCAACTACTATAAAATTAAGATACTTATAAGTATTTTATAGGTCAAGGAATAAAGCACAAGAAAGGTAAATAAAAGGTGCATGGAACTAAGTGATAATAAAAGCTTAAAATATCAGAATCTATGGGCTGAAACAGTACTCAGATGAACATTTATAACTTAAAAGTAATTATTATCAGAAGCTAGATTAACAACAAGTTATTTTCAAAAAGTAAGGAAAAAATAAGAGTTGGAGCAGAAATATATGAAATAGAGATGAAATAATACAACTGAAAGTTGATAAAAATCAAACAAGTTTAATCTCTTGATTAAAGGAAGCAAGAACACAAAAAATTAATATCAAGTGAAAGGGAGCTATTAAATAACCCTACAGATTCTAAGGGTAATATTACAATTACATGTCAACATGTGATAGTTTACATTAACATGGTGCATATTAGAGAAGGATCCTTGTGCTGCTGAAAAGAAAGTGTATTCAGCCATTGACAGATGAAATATTCTGTATATGTCTGCAAAGTCTAAATTGCCAATTGTATTTCATAGTTTATAGCTTCTTTATTTAGTTTTGTTGGGAGACTCTATCCAGTGGTGAAAGAGTCATGTTAAAGTTACCCAGTGTTATTGTGTTGTTTCTATTTGATTCTTGAAACTGAGAAGGGTTTGTTTGATGTATGCAGATGCTCCATTATTTGAGGCATAATTGTTATCCCTTAAGCAGTATGAAATGTCCTTCTGTCCCTTCTGATTAACTTTGGCTTGAAGTCCACTTTATCTAATAATATGAGGCCAGAAACCCCTGCTTTTGTTTATCAGTTCCATTTGAGTGATATGTTTTTTTCCCATCCTTTTACCTTCAGCCTGTGGATGTCTTTGCCTATGAGGGGAATCTCTTGAAGACAGCACATTGTTGGGTCTTGTTTTTTAATCCAATCTGCCAGTCTATGTCTTTTGATTGATGAGTTTAGTCCATTTGCCTTCAGTGTTATTATTGAGATATGATTTTTATTCCCTTCCATTTTGATTTATTTCTGGGTTTTACTTTGAATAGTTTCTCCTTTTCTTGACTGTTCTTCCAATGCACTTCTTTCCTTTACTGGTTTTCACTTTTATTTTTCATTTCTTCTTCATGAAGTATTTTATTGAGAATGTTTTGTAGTGCAGGCTTTCTAGTTGTGAATTTTTTTAACTTTTGTTCATCATGAAAGATTTTTATTTCATTTTCAGTTATCAAGCTTAATTTTGCTGGGTATAGTATTCTTGGCTGGTATTCATCAAGAGCTTGGTATATATTCACAACTTGCTAGCTGAGGGTCTGGATTGAGAAATCAGCTGAGATCCGGATTCGTTTCCCTCTAGATGTTACTTACTGTTTTTCTCTGGCAGCCTTTAAGATTCTATCCGTATTATTATCCTTATTCTATCCTTATGTTAGGCATTTTCATATAGTGTGCCTCTGTGTGGGTCTGTTGTAATTTTGTATATTTGGGGTCCTGTAAGTCTCTTGTGTTTGATTTTCCATTTCATTCTTTAGGTCTGGGAAATTTTCTGTTATTATTTCATTGAAAAGATTGTACATTCCTTTGGTTTTTGTCTCTGAGCCTTCATCTATCCAGATAAATCTTAAATTTGGTCTTTTCAGGTTATCTCATATTTCTTGAAAGTTTTGTTCATGGTCTCTTAACATCTTTTCTCCACAGTCGACTTTGTTTTCAAGATTATATATTCTGTCTTTATTGTCTGAAAATCTTATCTTCCAACTGATTTAGTCTTTTGGTGATGCTTTCCATTGAATTCTTAATTTGGTTTATTGATTCCTTCATTTTGAAGATTTCTGCTTGATTTCTTTTCAGAATTCTATCTCCTTGTTAAAGTGAACTTTCACTTCCTATATTTTCTCTCTGATTTCACTCCTTACATCATTCTTTACTTTGCAGATCAGTTTGACTGTGTCCATTCTAAATTCCTTTTCTGACATTTTTTTAGGTGATCTATTTTGTGACCATGGTATAATTCAGGATTTCTTAAATAAGACAAACGAAACACAGATCCTAAGGGAAAAATAAGTAGATCTTAACATTGTTAAAATGGAAAGTTTTGTTCCTGAAAGTACCATGCACAAGGCACAGATTGAGAGAAGATATCTGCAACTCATTATTAAAAATTCTACAGAAATATTCATTCTAGTGCTTTTCAATATTAAAAAAATTGGAAATAGCCTTAAGTTGACCAATAGGTTAGTTGGTATTTTAATGCACTAGAATATTGTAAAGCATTGAGAATCAATTATAATCATATACTACAAATCATAATATCCAGTGAGAAAGGCATGTTGCATAAAAGTACATACAGCATACAGTATTTGTACCTTTTATATGAAGTCTAAAGACATTTAAAACAAGATTGTACATTATTTATATTGATTATTTTTGTGATTCATACTAGTGCAGTGTAGTAAAGAATTCAAAAACATCCTTGAGACTGATAATTTAGTATAAAGGTTGCTGCTGAGAAGAGAGAATCATTGAGACTTTACACAAGGAGTCATCATGTCTGTGGTGTTTTTATTTCTTAAGCTGTAGATACCTTGGTGTTCATGTTATTTATACTTTTATAGGCCTAAAATATTTACTCTTCTTAAAAAATTAGATATTCTAAAAATTTCAGATTTTTTTTTTTGTACCAAGGATAGAACCCAGGGATGATTACCACAGAGCCACATCCCCAACCCTTTTTATAATTTATTTAGAGAGAGACAGTGTGTCTCTGAGTTGCTTAGGGCCTCCTAAATTGCTGAGGCTGGCTTTGAATTCGCACTCCTCCTGCCTCAGCCTTCCAAGCTGCTGAGATTACAGGAGTTTGCCACTGCGCCTAGCTCAGAAGAAATTTAGAACAAAGAGATTAGGAAGATTGAGGTAATAGAAATAAGAAAAAATAGAATTTAAAAGAAAAGAGCTAGCATGATAAGTAAAAACAAGACTGATTCTTTGTTTTGTTTTTAGTAATCTCGAATGCCTTTTTGATTTCTTTCTCTTTTTAAAAATTTTTTTAGTTATACATGAGCACAATATCTTTATTTTGTTTATTTATTTTTATATGGTGCTGAGGATCGAACTCAGGGTCTCACACGTGAGAGGCAAATGCCCTACTGCTGAGCCACAACCCCACTTCCTGATTTCTTTCTTGAAAAATATTAATAGAAATAGGAAATTAAGTATAATCAAGATAAAAAGAAAGAAAGAAGAAACAAAGTATTAGGAAATGAGAGTGCTATAATTAAAATCTAGATGATATAAAAGCTTTTTGTAGCCTATATGAAATGCCAAAAGTGGCTTCATAAATGATAAAAACTGAGTAGGCCAAAGAGTTTGAAAGTCTTGTTCAAATCTACTTTTTTTTAAGTTGTAGATGGACCCAGTACCTTTATTTTATTTTTCTATGGTGCTGAGGATCAAACCCAGTGCCTCCCACATGCAAGGTGAGCGCTCTACCACTGAGCCACATTCCCAGCACCTCAAATCTACTTTTTTACTTTGAAAAACATTACTTGATCTATACCTTTTTTCTTTTTGAAACTGTTGCATCATATAATCATAGAACAAATTTTATTTAAACTTTGAATTCATGTAACAGTTTTTATATAATGGAGTCTAAAATTCTTTTTTCCTAATTTATAGAGGGCTTCTCATCTTGCATGTTTTGGATGGAGGTGGGAGGGTTGCTTGTCTTATTGTGTTTATTATCTTTTAATTCTCTATGGGATTGAATGATGTCATTATTCCAGAGGTGCAAGTTCAAGTAGCCATCACCACGGATCAGAACCTCTCAGATGAAAAGCAGAAAGAGGAGAACTTAAGTCAAATGGTATTAACTAAGACTAACTGGCCTGAAGAAGAATCCATGCAGAAAGATACTGGAGGTAGCTGAATGGGATTGTCTGTATATTATTTTCTTCTGCTCTTCTAAAATGTGACTATTCACTAAAGAATATAAAAAAAATATGTTCTTTAGTCTCTTCTTGCTATTTTCAAACTGTCTCCATTTTGCTCATTTTTGGTGTGTTTTGGCAGGGGTTAAACTGACAATTTGAAAACTCTTTTGAGCTATTCCTTAAAAACTTGAATAAAATAAACAAATTAATCTAATTGTCAGAAATTCGCTCAATGGACTTTCCCCCTTTACTGTTAATATATTTCAGTTTCACAAAACTCTAATACCATTGCTTTATTCTAAAGAATAAGCCTTTATCCCTAGGAATTCATCTTGTTTACTTCTGAACTACCTTTCCAGTTATTTTACTTCAGCAGGATTATGCTTTTTAAAGTGCCTTTAATAGCATGTTTAAGTTAGGATTATCTTTGGCTCTGAGAGATGAAAGCCAAAAAAAAAAAAAAAACAAAAAAAAGTCAGGAGAATATTCCTCATAAAAGTTCAGGATTTTTATGATGCTTCCATGTACCAAGAAACAATGCCTTTCCTCTTCTATTCATCTCCATTCTTAAAGTGTGGCTGTCTGCCCATGTTCCAACCAGTCAGCATAAAGAAAGGGAAAGGAAAAAGAAAAGCATAATTTCTTCCTTTTCCGATGCTTCTCAGAAGTTACATGTTCTCTTCCTTTTGCATCCTGCTTGCCAGACTTACTCACATGGTCACACCAAAAATGCATTGCCAGGGAGACTGATGGTCTTCATTTTGGTAACCATATGCCCAGCTAAACTTTGGACCTTATTTTAGAGGAAAAGGAAATGGGTATTAGAGGACACCTGGTATTTCTGCTACAGTTATAAACTAAAAACATTTTAGTGCAGAATTAGCCACTTCTCTTTTTTATATATTGGGTTTTTTAAAAAAGAAGTTCCATTGTATTCTAGAAAGCCCTTCAAATTTTTATTCATTTTTTTTACTGTCACTAAATGATGTTCTGGAAGCAGTTTTGATCATGTTAGTCTCCTAATAAACTTTAGTATTCATTGCTCGTGAATAAAAATCTAGGGTCTTTTAGTATCATCTTCCAGAACATTAGAACCAGTTCCCAAACAACCTTTTGAAGGCTCATTCTTACCTCTTTTCCTTATAGATTCAATAATCAAATAAATCATATACATTCACTATCACTTAGATACTCACTTGTTTTCCCAACTCTATTCTTTTGTTATGTATTCATATTTGCTTAAAATGCCTTTCTCTCTCCACCTCAAGTTGTATCCCATCTTCTAATACCCAACTCTTCCAGAGTTGTTCTATTATACTTCTTGCTGAAATTAGTTTTTTTTTTCCCCTTTGATACTTATACCTCTTATCTATCTCTTCTGGTATAGTCTTTAACGCAACTGTTTATGTATATGTTCTTTTTATTACTTCAATTTAGATAGCTTGCTAAACACATTTCTGATTGATCTTTTTATTTTTTATTTTTGATACTAGTAACACAATACCTTCATGTTTTTCACATAAATATTCTTAGAGGTATTTAAAAATTTTTTGTCAGCTTCTTGTCAGTATAAGTTAGTAATTTTTCTCTTATAGGTTCCAGTGATGCTACTGCTGCCAAGCACTTAATTCAAGTACAAGATACGAAGGCTGAAAACCTACCAGACATGAAACCCATTGAACCCATTTGTGGATTCAACCAAAAGAAAGAGGAACAGAAAGAGGAAATCTATATTGATAGAACTGTTTCTAAGGAAGCCTGGACAGAAAAGAAAGAATCCTTGCACATAGACATTTCAGGTAACGGAATTGTCTATGTGTGTCTGTCTAAAGAATAAGCCTTTATCCCTAGGAATTCTTGTCTGTATGTTTGTTTCATTCTAATGAGAATACAGCTTCATTATTTAAACAAAGATCCATTTTTCTCCCTCCCTTTTTTAAACTTGACACAAATCATTTCAATGCTGCTTTGTCTGTGGACATATGTATTGATTTGTAAAATAATTTTTAAATAAGTCCTGGGAAAAACTTTAAACTCTAGCAACTTAGAAACAGGATTATAAAAGAAACTACAGTCAGCCCTCTCTGTATCTATGGATTTTGCATTTGTGGATTCAACCAACCCAGGATCAAAAATATTGGGGAAAAATTGTTACTTTATTGCACATGTACTTTTTTCCCTTGTCATTAGTATTTAACAACTATTTATATAGCATTTCATTGTATTTAGTATTATAAGTGATCTAACAATTATTTAAAGTATAAAGGAAGATATGCTTAGTTTATATGCAAAATCCTCCCCATTTTATATAAGGTACTTAAGCATCCACAGATTTTGGCATCTGTGAGAGGCCCTGTGTCCAGTCCCTACGGGATATTGAGGAATAACTGCACCTAACACTGATGGTAATAGAAATAAAATATCATGTCTCTACTGAAACAGGGAAAACCTAAAGCCTAAAAGATATTCTAGAAGACTGTGACAAAGACAGTGACAGCATCAATACAAACTTTTAAAAAAATTATAGTAAGAAAGAGCTCAAATCAAATCCATTTATATTTGCCCATGGCCCTATTTTTATGACATAAAAGCATACAGAACACAAAGTATTACTACCTGGTTGTGAAGCTTTACCTCTCAGATGAAGCTAGAAGAGTATTCAGATAAGCTCCTAGAATCCTTTCTCTCCTTATCTCTGTATCCTGTATGTTGAAAAAGGGTAAGAATTTCAACAAGGTAACAGTACTATGCAATGAGGAAAAGATAGTCTCTTCAATAAATGGTGCTGGGAAAATTGGATAACCACATGCAAAATAATGAAGTTGAATCTTTACACTATATACAAGATTAACTCAAAACAGATTAGAAACATAAACATAGCCTGAAAATTATAAAACTCCTGAAAGAAACCATAATAAAAAAGCTTCAGGAAATTGGATTTGGCAATGATTTCTTAGGAGATCATACCAAAAATACATGAAACAAAAGCAAAAATAGTCAAATGAGACTATATCAAACTTAAAAACTTTTGCATCTCAAAGGAAAAAAGAATGTGGATTGACAACCCACAGAATGAGAGAAAATACTTACAAATCATATATCTGATAAAGAGCAAAAATCCAGGATATATAAGGAACATCTGCAACTCAACAACAACAAAACCCAAAAATCAATAACCAAAAATAAATAAATAAGTGGGCAATGGATTTGATAGACAGTTATTCAAATTAAATATATGAACATAAGCAAATGTATGAAAAGATACTTGATATCTCAAAAATGCAAATCAGAACCACAATGAGATATCAGTTTATCCCATTAGGACGACCACTATGATATAAGGCCAGAATCACAAATAGTAGTAGGGATATAGAGAAATTGGAATTGGAACTCATGCACTGTTAATAAATGTAAAATGATATGTGGAAATTTCTGAAAAACTTGGGACGGGAGTAACCAGGGATTGAACTCAGGGACACTCAGCCACTGAACCATATCCCCAGCCCTATTTTGAATTAGAGACAGGGTCTCAGTGAGTTGTTTAGCGCCTTGCTCTTGCTGAGGCTGGCTTTGAATTCTTGATCCTCCTGCCTCAGCTTTCTGAACAGTTGGGGTTATAGGCGTGCGCCCCCATGCCCAGCTAATAATCACACTTCTGGGCATATATCCAAAAGAATTCCAAGCAGGATCTCAAACCTCATACCCATATTTCTCACAATGTTATTCATCATAGCCAAGAGATGGAATCAATTCAGATGTATATCAGCAGATGAATAGGTCAAAAAGAAATGAATTATTATCAGCCAATTAAAAATTTAAAAATGTGTTACATACATAAAATGGAATATTATGCAACTTGCATAAAGAAAACCTCTCATATGCCACAACATGGATGAACCTCAAGGACATTTATAGTAAGTAAAGTAGACCAGTCACAAAAAGATAAACAAAATATTATTCCATTCATATGAAGTTTAAAGTAGATAAAATCGAAGAAACAGAAAATAAAAGATGGTTCCAAAAGCTGGGGTGAGGGTGAACAGAGAAATAGTGATTACAAGAGTTAAATATCTGTGAATGTGTTTTATACTATGGAACTATTCACTTAAAAATGGTTAGGATGGTGATTTTGATGCCGTGTTGTTTTTTTTAACCACACACACCAAGAGAATAATTTGTAGAAACAACATTGCAACTCTATAATAGGTACTATAAAAGAAAGATGAGAATAAAATCTGTAAAAGCGTAATCTAGAAGACAAGAAAATTTGTCGTAATATTTTACATTTTGAACAATTTTTAAAAACATGAAATGTATGGAATTAAAAGTTGTTGAAGTGAGAACTTTATACCAATTAAGGAAGTAATGAAATGAAAACAATTAGCAAAAATAATGGAATTTGAGGACTAACAGTGAAAATCCAATACAATAATGCTTATCTCTATCTCTATAAGAGATAATAGAAAAATAATAATTGAGCCTGCAATTTAAAAGAACATGCCAAGTTCTAGAGAAAAAAATACATATAAAGACCTGTATTGAGATGTATGTTGATGATAGCACTGCATTTCAAAGGGAAAAAAATGAATTCTATAGGCATCCACACAGAAAAAGCAAAAAAGAAAATCAGGGGACAGGCAGAGGAAAGGGAAGTGAAAGGAAATATAAATGAGCTAATTTTATTTTTAAAGTTGATAAATCAAGAAATACATGTACAAGTACAGTGTTTGAAATAATAACAGTTACCCCTAAAAGAGTTAAACTGTAAAACATTCAAAATACTTGGAAAAACAGTGGCAGTGGGCATGGGGGTAGAGGGAGGAGCAAGCAAAACAAAGTCAATTTCTGTAACAAAAGAAAAAACTATCATAAAAATTAAGGAATGGAAAGTATACCAAATATAAACCAAAATTACCTGCATTAAAAAAAGTTCTGAGAGTAGATTAAAAACAAACTTATTTCTATGCTATATAGCAAATTCTTTGAAAACACAATGATCCAGAAAGGTTGGAAGTGAAATGAAAACTTAAAGGCATGTCAGAAAGAACTTGGGAACATTAATATAGATGAAGTTAAATTCAACACCAAAAGTTTTGCAGAAGTTAAAGAAGAACATTTTTTTTATCTGTAATCCACAATAAGAATAAATAAATCTTTAAATGTATGAAATAACCTAACATGAAATATACATAAAATGAAAGCCAGGAAATTTATGTTGCCTTAAAGAATGAAAATATGAAATTATGTGAAAATGTTCTTAAGGTTTATTGTTAGGCAAAAGGTGCTTAAGGTTGGCGGGGGGAGTTGTGGCAGTGGTAGGGCGCTTACCTAGCATGTGTGAGGCACTGGGTTCTATCCTCAGCACCACATAAAAATAAGTAAAATAAAAAATTTACAAAAAGAGAGGAAGGTGGAATATGCATTTTGAGAAAAAACAGTAAAAGAGAAAATAAACTAACAGAAAAACTTGGACATTCAAAAAGAAAGGTCTAGGGGCTGGGGTTGTAGCTCAATGGTAGAGCGCTCACCTAGCATGTGCAAGGTGCTGGGTTCGATCCTCAGCACTACATGTACATAAACAATTAAAATAAAGGTATTGTGTCCAACTACAACTAAATAATTAAAAAGAAAGTTCTAATATAGAATAGTAGCAGGGATAGAGCTTCTCATAACTTCATGTTTTCAAGGTTTATGTCAATATTTCATTCATTTCAGTGGCTGAATTGTATGTGTATGACACATTTTGCTTATCACTTTGTTCATTAATGGATATTCAAGATGTTTCTGTCATTTTGCTATTATGAATAAATGCTTCTGTAAACATTCATTTGCCAGTAGTGGAATTGCTGATACATGAACTAACAATGATTAATCATTCTGCCAAAGCAGCTGCTTCATTTTACATTCTAATCAGCAGTTCGTGAGAATTTTCATTTCTCAATAACCTCACCAGCATTTATTATCTCACTTTTTTTTCTTATAGCCATCCTGGAATGTGTAAAGTAGTATTTCCTTCCTTTTTATTTATATTATCTTCATGAAAAATGAACATCATTTTTCATGTGTTTATTAGCCAGCTGTGTATCTTGGAGAGAGATATATTCAAATCCTTGCCTGGTTTTTAATTAGTTTGTCTTTTTATTATAGAGTTCTAAGAATTCTTTAAGTATTCCAGATATTACCCCTTATCAGATATGTGATTTGCAAATATTTCATCAAATTCTGTGGGCATCTTTTTATTTTCTTGATGGTAGTCTTTGAATCACAAAAGACTTAATTTTGATAAATTCCGTCTATTTTGTCTTTTGTAGTTCATGTTTTCGGCATCACAGCTAAGGATCCTTTGCTAAATCCAAGGTCATGAAGATTTATTTACCCCTTTGTTTTCTTCTAAGTTTTCTATGTTTTTCACTTTTTCATTTATGTCATTGATCTATTTTGAGTTAATTGTTTGTGGTATGAGGTAAGGGTTCACCTTCATTTCTTTCCATGTGGATATCCAGTTATACCAGCACTATCTGTTGAAAAGACTATGCTTCTGTCCTTTCTTTGCCAAATAGTCTTGACATACTGAAAATACGTCCATCATAGATGTATAGTTGTTTATGGACTCTTAGTAATATCAAAATAGTAACATATTGATGTGTATGTTTATTCTTATGACATTACCACCCTGTCTTGATTACTATTTATTTGTAGTAAGTTTTGAAATTAGGAAGTATGAGTCCTTCAGCTTTTTTTTTTTTTTCTGAATCATGTTGACTACTCTGGATCCCTTACAATTCCATATGAATTTTAAAATGATCTTACCAATTTCTACAAAGAAGCAAACTGGGATTCTGATAGGGATTTTATTGAATCTGTAGGTTAGTTTGAGGACTGTACCTTCTTAAGAATGTTAAGTCTTTCAATCCATAACATGGGAAGTTTTCCATTTATTTAGATCTTTAATTTCATAACAATGTGTTGTAGTTTTCAGAGTATAAGTTTTGCATTTCTTTTGTTACATTCATTCCTAAGAATTTTATTTTTTATGCTATCATGCTTAGAATATTTTAAAATTTGGACATGGATGATTTAATATTATAATTCTGTTTATTAATGAATGAACATTTTTACAGTACCTGTTTTTCTTTCTTACAAGGGTATGTGTACACAAAAATGCCACATGTAACCAAAATACCACATAAACTTGTTTCTTATACTTCTGGAGACTGAGACATCCAAAAACAAGGGGCTGGCATATTTGGTATCTGGTGAGGGCCTAATCTCTGCTTTTAAGATGGTGCCTTGTTGCTTTGACCCCACATGTAAGGGACATTTAGCTATGCCCTTTATAAGGGCTGTAAGTCCCACTTATGAAGATGAAGCTTTCATGACCTAATTACCTCCTAAAGGTCCCACCATTAAATGCTATTAAATTGGCAGGATGCAGTTTTAACATGAATTTCAGAGAGACACAAACATTCAAACCATAATATGTTGTAAGATATTGCATTAAAAATGACTTTTTGATAAGAGTAATGAAACTTTAAGGTAGTGCATTTTACATTATATATATTTTATTACAATAAGAGAAATCAAGGGAGAAAGTAAAAATGTTTTACAAAAAAAGGACTTTTAAAAGACTTTAAAATAAGAGAACACATGTAATAACACCCCACACATGACAGGTAGTGGTGCAAATAGCAGGTGAACTTATGATCGAGTTCCTTCCTTGAAGTCACATAGTTGATCAGTTTAGCCCCCAAACCCAAGTGTTTTGACCCCCAGTTCCATACTTTTACCATGTCAGTCTGGCTGCTGAGTACAAAGTATGAGTCTTTTGGGCAGGCAATGGATTTTATAAGACTTTATATAAATAAATTAATTCTTTCCTTCAATCTTTGTTCTGTATCTAGAGAATTCAGTATCAATAGTATTTCTAAAGGTAATGCAAATGTTTTTTTTTTTTAATTCTTTCAAAATATTTTTTTCCCCTCTATCTCTTTTCAGAGTCTGAATGCCATTCAGAATTTGAAAATACAACTCATTCTGTCTTCAGGTCAGCCAAGTTTTATTTTCATCATCCAGTGCACCTCCTAAGTGATCAAGATTTTTGCCATGAATCTTTGGGAAGGAGTGTTTTTATGAGACATTCTTGGAAAGATTTCTTTCACCATCATTCAGACAAAAACAGAGAACACACTTGTCTTCCTCCTCCTTATCAAAATGTGGACAAGACTAAGATAGATTATACCAGAATAAAGAGCCTCAGCATCAATATGAATGTGGGAGACAAGGAAGTGATACCTACCAGTAAAAGTCAGGTCAAAGACCATCTAAAAAGTAATGGACAAACTAATGATCCAAAAAGGGATCATAAGGTCACCCCAGAAGTAACAACTTCGCACACTGCAAGTTTGAATGAACTCTGGAACAAGTACCAGGAACGACAGAGACAACAGAAACAGTCAGATGTCAGTGACAGGAAAGAGCTGTCATTGGTAGAACGGCTTGATCGTTTGGCTAAACTTCTTCAGAGTCCTATCACACATTCTCTCCGGACCTCAGAAAGTGTACAAGATGATAACAAAAGGGAACGATTTAAAGAATGGAGTTATAAACAGAAGCAGCAGAAAAGCAAGTTTCAGAAGCAGAAGCGTTATAAAAGCGTAGAGAAAGGCCATAGAAATATATGTGATCTTAAAAAAAGCAAGGTACTTTCTCCTCATCAAACTGGGAGGTCCAATCAAATTAAGATTGAACAGATTAAATTTGATAAATATATTCTGAGAAAACAGCCAGATTTACATTATATCAGCAACACTTCTTCAGATTCTAGACCCTCAGAGGAAAGTGAACTGTTTACAGATACTCCGACCAACATTCTTTCCACCACCACTTCTCCTGTGGAATCAGATATATTGACCCAAACAGATAGAGAGGTGACTTTGCATGAAAGGAGTAGCTCTATATCCACCATTGACACTGCCCGATTGATCCAGGCTTTTGGCCATGAAAGAGTATGTTTATCACCCAGGCGAGTTAAATTATATAGTAGCATCACCAACCAACAGAGGAGATACCTTGAGAAGCGGTGCAAGCACAAGAAATCATTGAATACAGGCTATCCCCAAATGACTTCTGAGCACACCAGAAGGAGACACATCCAGGTACATGGCTGCAAATACCATCTGGCAATGTGACTGCCTTTTTCATGGACTTCTTAGTTAATCTTTGCACTCAGGTGAAAAAAAGCCATTTGCCCTTTCCTCACTATAACATTGCTTACCAACTGGAAAAGAGTGAGAAAGTGTAGTACAGTGCTATTGTGAGTTGTCATTCTTTTCATCAACACTCATTTACTAATCGTCTTTTGGATGAAGGTCTTTGCTGCTAGATGCTTCAGAATCAGCTAATCCCCCTGACATGGGGGAGTTTCGAGTTTAGAATAACCTGTTCTGAACAGTGTTGCCTGTTTTTTCTTATTTCCTCCTGTCTTCCAAGAAATATTTGAGATGCTTTTACACACACACATACATGCATGCACGCACACACGCACAAATGGTACAATGTGCTTTTTAAAAAGTAAAAGGAGAATTGGGATGATAGAAAAATTAAAGTTGAGGTGAACTGCAACATGATTTTTTTTTTAAATGAAGAATTGTGAGTGGTAGATAGACAAGCTGAAGCCAGAGGGAGATTTACCTGGTGGATATGTTTGCTAGAAGCTAGCTACAAATTTGCATTATTTTCTAGTACATAGTGTTGCCAGAATTTTGTGATCAGTTAAATCATATGAAAGGAAACCAAATTTTCAAAAGCATTTTACAGATATTTCTGATACAAATACCTAAGAGAAATTTCCTTAGCTGTCTTTATAAAAGGCACCTCAGTGTAACTGAGCCTTCTACAAACTCCTTATAATAATACCATAAGAATAACTGTAAGACTGTTATCATATTCCTTTGATTAGACAGTAAAGGCAGCTCTAATGGGGTTGACAAATGTAAATCATTGTTTTACCCAAGAGTAAAATTTAGGCTACCTAGAGAAGTACTTTCCAAAGAGAGATGCTCTGTGCATTGAGTATGGAAAGAAAAATACTAGAATTTATTTTCATTTTACTCAACCTTTTAAAATTGATATTTTTTATGTATTTTATAAAATATGAGCACAGTAGTAACAATTTAAAAATAAATATCTGTTTTGGCAGTGTGTGCTCAAAAATATTTTGATATTAGGATTGTATGACCAAAACAATCTAGAGACCATATGTCTAGAGAAAAGGAGGTACAAAGTGGTCAGTTTACCATAAGTAGTATTTCTCATTGTGGAACTTTTGGTAGGAATTAAATGCCCGTGATTGTATATATTAATGAAATATGATTATTTTAAGTAATGAAGAATTAGGTATAGGGGAGATAGGGAAAAGGATCCAGGAAGAAGGATTGTGTGTGTATGAAAAAACACAAAATTTAGTTTGGACCATTTTAAAGTTAACAGTTCAGTGGCATTCAGTATACTCACAGGGTTTTACCATTACTACTCTTTAGTTCCATATATATATTTTTTTATCACCCCAGTGCAAACCCCATACCCATTAAGTAGTGACTCCCTATTCCCCCTTCCACTAGCCCCTGGCAACAATTTATTTCTTACTCTGCATTTTCCTGATCTTATAAATATATAGATAGTTATTTAGTTTTGTGTAGTTATAGAAAACTTCTACATATTCTGAATATTACCTGAATATTCACCTCTTATCAATATGATCTGCAAATATATTTTACTGTTCTGTAGGTTTCTTCTTGTACAATCACTTGTGTTCTTTGACAATTGAATAGAGTTTTCAATTTTGATGTAGCTCAATTTATCTGGGTTTTTGTTGCCTATGCTTTTGATGTCATATCGAAGACGTCATTGCCAGATCTAATGTCATGATGACTTTCTCTTATTGTCTGCTAAGAGTTTTATAATTTTATTTCTGATATTTAGGCCTTTGATTCATTTTGAGATGTTTTTATATGATATAAGACAAGGATCAACCTTCATTCTTTTTTTTTTTTTTTTTGAAACCAGGGATCAACCTCAGGGGCACTCAACCACTGAGCCACACCCCCAATCCTGTTTTGTATTTAGAGACAGGGTCTCACTGAGTTGCTTAGTGCCTCTCTTTTGCTGAGGCCAGCTTTGAACTAGTGATCCTCCTGCCTCAGCCTCCTGAGCAGCTGGGATTACAGGCATGTGCCACTGTGCCTGGCTCTCCTGCCTCCATTCATTTTTCTTATAACTGAGTCAATCCCTTGTTATAATTCTATTCAAAATACATTTTTTAAAAAAATATTTTTTCCAGTGCTAGGGATTGAACCACCAGGGCCTTGTGCAAGCCAGGCAAGATCTCTACTACTGAGCCATGTCGCTAGCATTCTATTTCTTATTGAGTCAGTTTATATTTTGTGTTTCTTGAAATTTGTTCTTGTCTTTGTTTTTCTATTCTATTTTCTTTACCTCCACTATAATCTTCATTATTTCCTCTACTTGTTCTGAGTTTTGTTTGCTCTTTTCTAATTCCTTGCAATTTAAAATTATTATGATTTTGAGATTATTCTTTTTTAATGTGGGCATTTACAACTGTAACTTTCCCTCGGAGCACTGCTTTTGCAGATACATATTTCCTCCTAAACTTTTCCTTCATTGCATCTCATATATTTTGGTATGTTTTGTTTTTTTATTTATCTCAAAAAAGTATTTTCTAATTTTCCTTCTGATTCTATTTGACCATTGAGTGTATAAGACTGTATTTTTAAATTGCTACATATTTTTGAATTCCCCAGTTTTCCTTCTGTTGACTTGTTTTCATTCCATTGTGATCATAGGTATACTTTTTATGATTTTAGTCCTTTTAAATGTACTGCACCTTCTTTTATGGGTTACCATGTAGTCTTTTTTGGAAAATGTTGCATGAGCACTTAAGAAGAGTGTTTATTCTGCTTTGTTGGTTGAAGTGTACTGAATATACATTAGATCTAGTTGGCTTGTAGTGTTGGTCAAGTCCTTTATTTTTTCATTGATCTTTTGTCTAGCTTTTCTATCCATTTTGAAAGTGAGATATTGAAGTCTCCAACTATTACTATGGAACCATCTGTTCATTCAATTCTGTTGGTTTTTGCTTCATATATTTTAATTCTCTATCATCAGGTAGATGTATGTTCATAATTGTTTATCTTCTTTTAAATCTTTATCTTCTTGGATTGACCCTTTTAGCAGTGTAAAATTCCCTTTTTTTCTTTTGTAACTATTTTTTCAACTTAAAATCTATTTTGTTTGTTACTAGGACAATGACCCTAGCTCTCTTTTGTTTACCATTTGCATGGAATATCTTTTTCCATCTTTTTGCTTTTAAACTCTTTGAATATGTCAGTCTAAAGTGAGTCTTTTTAAGAAAGCATATTGATGATGATGATGATGATGATGATGATGAGTGTGTGTGTGTGTGTGTGTGTGTGTGTGTGTGTGTGTGTGAGTGAGAGAGAGAGAGAGAGAGATTGAGATTGATTCATTCATTCTGTCATCTCTGCCTTTTAGTTTAAGAATACAATCCAGGGCTGGGGTTGTGGCTCAGTGGTAGAGCACTTGCCTAGCATGTGTAAAGCACTGGGTTTGATTCTCAGCACTGCATGTAAATACACAAAATAAAGGTCAATCAACAACTAAAAAATTATTTAAAAAAAGAATACAGTCCATTTATATTCAAAGTAATTATTCATAGGAAAGGGCTTACTTTTCCTATTTTGCTTTGTTTTCCTATGTCTTATGTATTTTTTGTCTCTCAATTCCCCATTGCTCATTCTGTCTTTTGTGTCCAATTAATTTTTTTTTGTCCAATTGATTTTCTTTTTCATGAGACTGGAGATTGAATCCAGAACCTAAAGCATGCTAGGCAAGCACTCTACCACTGAGCTACATCCCAAGCCCTTTAAAAAAAAATTTTTGTTTTGATAGGCTGACCACTTTTGTTTATCTGAGAATGTCTGAATTTTTCCTTCATTCTCAATGATTGATCTGCCTCAGTCTCTTGTATAGTTGGGATTACAGACCTGCACCACTGTACCCTGCTCATTTCCTTCAATTTATGTTTTTTTACTTTTTGGGTGGGGGGATTATAATTAGCATCTTAAGCATATAACAGGCTAATTCTGAAATAATGCCACTTTAGTTTCAGTTTTATTAAAATCTGATATACGTCTTCCTCCCTCTGTCTTATCTCCCTATCTTTATAGTCACAAATTACATTTTAATTTGTATTTATTAACAGATTTATAATTATTATTTTAAGCATTTATCTTTTATATCATGTTGGGGGAAAGGAGAGGCTATAAACCAGAAAGAATAATATTGCTTTTAAATTTAAAAAAATTAAAAGTAATTACCAATGTAATTACCGTTAGTAGTAGTATTTCTTTATATAGCTTCAAGTTATTGTTTAAGTGTCCTTTTAAAAAAAATTCTTACTTGTAGTTGAACATTTATTTATTTTTATGTGGTTCTAAGGATCAAACCCAGTGCCTCACATGTGCTAGACCAGCACACTACCACTGAGCCACAACCCCAGCTCTGTTTAGTGTCCTTTTATTTCAGCATAAAGGATTTCCTTCCCCTGCAGGAAGGAAATCCTTTATGCTGAACTGGTAGTGAATTCCTCCTGCTTTTGTTTATCTGAGAATATTTTAATTCTCCTTCATTCTTACAAGAAAGTTTTGCTGGATATGGTTTCTTATTTTATACTTTTTTTCTGTCCTCCATGGTTTCTGATGAGATATTGACAGTCAAACTTACCGAGTATTCTTTCTATATTATGAGTCTCTTTGCTTTTGATCTTACTGCTTTCAAGATTCTCTCATCTTGGTTTTTGATTGTTTGATTATAATGTGTCTTTCTTGGATCTCATTGATTCTATCCTTTTAGGGCTTCAGTGTACTTACATGTTTAGATTCATGCCATTTATGAATTTGGGGAGTGTTTGGCCATTATTTCTTCAGATACTCTTTTTGCTTCCTCCTCTTATTCCGGGACTATCCATACATAAAATTTTAGGTAAACTGCATGGTATCCTAGAAGTTTCTTTGGTTCAGTTAATTTTTCTTCATTCTGTTTTCTTTTTGTCCTTGCA